TGTGCTGACCGTAGCAGATCACTTCCCCCACCCAACACTAAATACAATCTGTCTCCTACTCACTGTAATAACGTGCAAATGACTGTAATTTTGCAGACAAGAAACAGCCCAAAGTGAAACGTGTCTAAACAGAGGTCGATTTGAAAAATCAGGGCTATTACCTAAATCTGTAAAACACATATTGTAATAAAACCAGCTATAGCAATCTCCAATAAGTAGTTTTAAAAAATGTAGCATTTTTTTTTTTTATCTTCTTTATGTACCCAGCCTCCATGGGCACAAAAGAAAAATCATTTTCTAGAAATGGTTTCATTACATGAGATGTAAATGGTCTTACTTTGTTACCCGATCTGTGGACCTTGGTAGGGTACCCACCCGCTCAGATGGAGTACACAGACCACACCTCAAGAGCCTGGGCCAAGCAGAGGTACACTTTCACACACTTAACACTGACCTACATTGCAGTTCTCTCACGGCAAGCAGTAGATAAATGTTTTCCTTTAAAAGAATGTGCTGTTTTGCAATATTTTGCTAGGTTCTACAGAACTGAAAGGTGTGAAAGGAACAGTTGTCTGCCTTTTCTTTTTGACTATTTACAGGGTAGGATTGGGAGAAGGAATGGAGAATTACATATATGGACATATAGGGAGAAGCACTACCTTCTTCAACTTTATATTTCTTTCTTTTCTGTGATTCTAGGGATCAAACCCATGCTAGACAAGGACTCTACCACAGTCTGTTTCTTTACTATTAAAATCCATTGTGATATTAATTCAATTTATCCAATAGCTGTATTTTATCATCTCTACTTGGCAAAGCTGAACTGTATTAGAAAGATCTGTTAAGACAGTGCTTATTCCCTCTCCCTTGGACGTAGAGCACCCTTGTCATACTCTAAGGAATTTAAATTGAAGGTGAGTTAGGGCATAAAAATGACCTAAAAAGCTCATAAAGCAGTGATAAACAATGCCTATAAGTACACATATTTGCAAAATGTAGATCAGAAATGTCCAAGTTTTTCATGGCATACCATTCATGTCTTTCTTTCCTAACCCCTTCACGCCCCAACAATGACCTGTAATGTGTGCACAGTCCTCACTCCCCAGGAGACCTGCTTCTCCGTGCTTTATCTTGCTCTAGTAGTATCTCAGGAAAAGGCAAAACCTTGGGCATTTCAGGGTCTCTAGAACTGAAATGCATGAAAAGGACAGTGGGCTGAGTTTTCCTTCTTTAATTAAAGGTGTAGGGTTGGGAGAAGGAATGAGGGCTTACACGAACAGACAGGGAAAAGCACTGCCCACTACCTTCTTTATTTATTTATACTACTTTATATTTCTTTCATTCTTTTAGACGTTCAGATTTTCTTTTTTGTGGTGTTAGGGATCAGTATTATTCTTTTAAGAACAATGCTCACCTCTTTTTGATCAGTTATCCAGAGGTAGATATTGTTAAAAGTACTGCACAGAAACTAGAATTGGATTTAGTATGCAGGTGTAAAAACGCAGAGAAAGTTTTTCTAGGAGCTCTTAACTAGGAGTTAAGATATTGCCTATAGGCAAAAAGAGTAAAGAACTTCTAGAGTTTGTGTGGGTGTTTAATAAATCACCAAGTCTACATTCCCTAGAAACCAGGCAGGTCACCTGCCCACTGCCTTCAGACAGTAGTAGTTTCCCATTATATCTAAATTAAGATCCTTTTCCTATAAATTAATCTCATTTTCACAAAGGATTTATTTTCTATAATTTTATTTCTACTTTTTCCTTTGGTCTTGAGTAGATCCCAAGTGTCAATACTGGGATAGATTTAAAAAAGCTACACCCAGGTATGGACTTGCTTCCAAATAAGCAAAAACTCAAGAAATAGTTTCTTCCCTGTGTGTGTGTGTGTGTGTGGTGGTAGGCAGTAAGGGGGGGTGCATTCCTGTAAATTCCAGGTCTCCAGTTTGGGGCCAGTCTAGGGTACATAGTGAAATCAAGGCCAGCCAGGGTAAAGTTCCCAAGACGCTATTTCAAAAACAAAATACAAAAAACAAAACAAAACAAAAGGCTGGGAGCATGTCTCAAGTGGGAGGCACTTGCCAAGTGCAAGGCTTTGGGTTCAATACTCAGTACCAAGGGAAAGAAAAGAAGTACACATGTTGGCTGGGCAAAGTGGCTCACACCTGTAATCCTAGCTATTTGGGAGGCTGAGATGGGTAGGATTGTAGTTCGAGGCTGGCCCAGGCAAATTGTTCTTGAGATCCCATCTCCAAAATAACCAGAGAGAAATGGATTGGAGGTGTGGTTCAAGTGAGCACCTGTTTTGCAAGCATGAAGCCCTAAGTTCAAACCCAGTCGCATGAAAAAAAAAAAAAAAGAAAGAAAAAGAAGTACACATATTAAAAAATAGTGTACTGGAATTATCAAGTATATGTGTGTAGATGTTAGTATAGAAACAAGTATGTTCCCTGTTGTCTTGATAAGAAATAAAATTTCCATCTCTATAAATAGAGTTGAACTCCCAATTTTGTGAGGGGAGTAATTCTGATTTTCAAAGCTCCTAGTTAATTATCTTACTTTCAGTCATCAATTAGCTGAGAGTCCTCTGATGCCTCTTGATTGGCCCCCTTGTCAAACAAAACAAAACAAACAAGAAAAGCCAGCATAACAACACTGGTTTATTCAGACATTTCCTGGAAGAATTTAGGAGGCAGGAGATGGGGGTGGGGTGTAAATGAAGTGTGGAAATGGTAGAATGGAAGGAAACGCTTTAATTTACCAAAATGGTTTGATTTAAGGTAGAAAGTTGGGCATAAATCTTTGGCCAGTGGTGTTTATCATAAAGGTTGACCATTTCGGATTAGGTGCTGAAGTTAGGGCTGGTTCAGATTATTTCAGTGTTAGGAAGCTTAAACTTTCAGTTACATGGAATCTATGCCGCAGATCCTGTTTCTCACTTTTACTGAAGTAGTGTATTGGAGTTCTACCATTTTTCCAGGGTCAACCGGGTCTTAGTTTTTAAAATGTCCTTTGAAGCCCTGTTGTCCTAAGACCTAACCATTGATTTTTTTTTTCCCCAAACTAACACGTGAAGTAACCTTAGGCTTCCAAAATGGAGAGGACACCCCAGGGAACACATGAAGTGCTCAGGAGTGACCTGCTTCTTTGAGGGACCATTTTCCTAAAAGAAGAAAAGTTAAGAATCACCACAGGGGGCTGCATTATTGTCAGTGATTCATACACAAATGTAAAATATGTACATTCAAAAATAGAAAATAAACATCAAAGCTAAAGCAAAGAATAGATGGATATTATGTATCTAATTTGTCCCAGTTTGTTAACTACTGCTTCAATTTGAGTACAAATGGATTTGCAGAACTCTGAGGACTATTATAGATGCAGTCCTCTGCTTTACACTCCCCAGTAAAGGTGGAAACTACTGTTTATTACTATTTGCAACATCGTATCTAGTTCATGTATGGGAGCAAAACAACTAATTAGCAATTTTTAACGGACTTGATATATTAAAAGCCCAAACATGAGTCAATAGCCATTACTTAAAACATGTGACATAAATATTTTCATTGATCCACACAGTCATCACTGAATATTTACATCAGATGCTATCTTATAGTAGCTCTAATTTACTTTATGTGCCTATTTGACTCAGTTAAGGCACACTCTTAAATTACAATTGTCATGTGTAAATTACAATCCCAGTAGTAACTGGATCCTTAAAACTTGGGATGTTTTCGATTAAATTCATAGCACCCTTGGCTTTAAAATCTTCACATTATAACTCCTGAAAATAATAGAATCTAACAATGAAAAAGTTTAAAACGTGCTCTAAAGGCTTAATATATGTAAATACATTCGCTTAAATATATTAGCAACTTACTTTATATTAACCTCTTATCTTAAAAAACGAGTTCCATTAACTCAGTTGCATTTATCCTACAATAAATTCTAAAATACTTTCTGTATTTGTGGATTGCAGATGTGGCATTTAGAGGAGTTAGACACACCTCCCCCTACCCCCGGGGTTAAAGATTTGCGGAAGAGGAATTCTGACAATCCAGACGATTTAAAATTGAGGACTGGGTCTGTTTAAGGGGTTAATCTTCCTGGTATACTTTATCTTCCACAAATCGATCAAATGAGGCTGGCCCGAGGTGTTAATATGATTGGCGGTGGCCTTACTTTATTTTATTTTTGGGGGGAGGAGGAGTAAAACCAGGTGGAAAGATTTCGTACTAATCTAAGGGAAGAACCGTTCCAGCGGCTTTGGGTTAATGGTTGCCAGTGTTCACACTTCAGTGGTTGCAGACCGGGGACTGGAAACAAAAGGGTTACTTGTTTCCCCACCACCGCCTTTACCCCCAGATCGATTTTTCTTATTTAATCAGCGAGCAAAAAAAGAGATACGGGGGGGGGAGGGGAGGACAGGGGATGCAGGAAGGGCAAACTGGTGGGGGAGGACTGAAAGCCCGAAGCTGCAACCCGGAAAGTGGCTGTTGGGAGTCGGGCAGCCGAGTCCTTGCCACAAGGCAGGGGAGCCAGCAAAACGCTCCCAGTCATTTCCACACAGCCAGCCTCCCTTTTCTGCTCGCCACACGCTCGTGGCTCCTTTGGCTTCCCTCTGCCACCGAGTGATCACAGACATTATTTCCCCTAAGATAACACAATCAAACTTGTATTTACCGACATCCTCTCTTCGCAGCCTGTTTGAGATTTATTTTAATAAATAAGTGTTCTATGTGAATGATGTAGTAATTGAAACGGGCGCACCATTTTTTTTCCCCCCTTCTTACTGCGGGAGGTTCCTCAACTCCAATCTGGTTGGAAAATAAAACGCTTTGTCTCCACAACCACCCCCCACCGCACCCCCACCCGCGCTCAGTGTGTGTTTTATACGTGTGTATATCTCAACCCCCTACAGTAGCCAAGAGAAAGCAGCTAGCCAATGAGAGAGCCCAGTTTCATAAAAGCTGCTCTCTGATTGGCCCGATGCGAAAGGGCATTGGGAACAAAGAAAAGTCCCTTTCAGGTATAGAGGCTGAGAGCTCCTTTTGCTCCACTCCCCCTGTGAGTGTGTGTTGTGTTTCAGTTCTGATTTCAGTGTTGCAGAACAAGCTTGTTGTGTGTGTGCACCAGGGGGATTTTTGTTTTGCTTTTCTTAATTTTAATTTTTGTTTTTTTTTTTTTATAAAAATACACAGGAAGGTCTGTGACATTTGATGGTCCATCTTCTTTAATAAAAAAAAATTGAAGAGCTTATAATTTCCAAAATAAAGCGGCTGCAACCAAACACATTCAATGCAGTTAGAAGGAAAAGGTCAACTCGATCCAATACAGACCGTAAGTACGGTTGCGTGGTGTGTCTGTATAGCACTTAGCGGGGACTTCATGCAGGGGAATGTGCGAGTTTTATGCATTGAAATGAGGAACTAGTTACAGGGTTTGGCTTTTGCATTTAGAACAACCCAAGAAGGGTGAATTTTATTCAGTGGAGGGTGAAGCATTTGTAACTTCTTCACACAAATTAAGCTTGACTGGGCACTCGGTTAACTTAGAGTAAATTACCTTTTGGGCTCTAACCCAAAGGAATAAAAGTGACACAGTTACATACCCTGGTCCGCAGTGTCAGTTCTCCAGCGCACCTTACCCCCTCTCCTATCCTAGCTGGACCCCCTCCCCAGCCAAGCCAGGAAAATGGGGGCAAGGACAGGACAAACCGATTTCTGTCTCCTGTCACATCCTCGTGCCCATTAATTTAATATTAAACAAGGGAATATTCATCCATTACATGTAATGGCTATAATTATCATTTCCCACCTTCTTAAAAAAGCCAGCAGCAAAAACACCATGGGGGGGGAGCCCCACCCAACCCAAATAAACCCACAAATAGTAACAATGGTGTGCTTATTACAGGACCTAGCTTGGGAACTAGCAAAATGTTTTTCTTTGTCTAATACATGAAGGGTCCCTAAAATCCCAGTGGTTCGGAGGTACCCACCCCCTCCCCGAGACTTCCGCGTCCCTAGCCCCCTGGGAAAGCCAACGAATTGGAGATAAGTTGAGGAAAGGTTTATAAGGTGTTTCTATAAAACATCTGCTTTGCTCTTGTGCTCGTTACATTTCACTCCTTGCGAACTTCCGAGATCCTCGATCTCAGAGAAATGTTTCACATTCATAACTTGTAGCTTCGCCCACTGCAAGGGGGGCGGCGGGGGGGAGCGTGTGCAGGGGGAGGGGAGAGACCTTCAGCGTTTTTTTAAAGACCAGATCAGTATTTTCTTGATACGCTTGTCACCATTTTTGTTCTCACGACAACCAATTGAGCCCTTGATCCTCACGTGATGTGAAAGGCTTGCACTGTAACAAAATCGCTCCTTTTAGATGGTTGGTTGTTGCTAACTCGCCCATCCCCCTCTCCCAGCCCCGACATTTCCAGCAAAGCGACTCTCCACTTCCAATCCATCAACAATTCATTACTGCTTTTAGCTTCCAAACGCCAGCTAATTAAAAATACTAAGCCAAGCTCTGAGGCCATCTGACTAAGCCCAGGAGGGGGTGGGGAGCGAGGAGGAGGAGAGAGAAAAAAATAAATAGAAAGGAGACGCACCGTTTGCTTCGAGTGTAGAGGGGAAAAAAATTGTCCTGAAAAAGATCGCCTTAAAAAAAATTTTTTTTGACTAATTATCAAATTACCACATGACAGACTGGCTTGCGCGACAGAGGATTTTAACCCCAACCCCAGGGACTGTACTAAGAACTCCTTCCCTTTTCTTAAACCAACATAAAACAGGAAAACACCACATCCTTTAGATTTCGAAGACGGAGCCCATTTGAACGCCGTTATTTCCCCTCCAGCGCCCCCCGCCCCGAGCGAAGGCTGTTTTAACTGGTCCCCGGCTCGCCCGGCGCCCGCTTCCTCCTCTCGCACACCTTTCCTTGGCTCCTCCGGCCCAACTTCGCATCCCACCCTTTCTTCCTCCTCCTCCTCCTCCTTTCCCCATTCTTCTCCCCCCCTCCTTGTCTCTTAAGTTACTTGGAGAAATCAAATCTGTCAGGACGGGCGGAAAAATGCCACTTCCCGACTAACAGGCGGAATCCAGCCCAGATTTTCAGTCCTTTCTTCTTATTCTTTCTTCCCTTTCACTAATTTATCCCGATGTTAGCACATTCTGTCTTGTTACTGGCGGACGCCTGTAGGTTTGCTACATGGATCATTACTTACTGATCACGGTGACTCTCAAGTCTGGAACGGAAGGCGGAATGAGAAGTTGGGAAAACTTTTTTCTCTAAACTCTCTCTCTCTTTTTTTAGACACCCTGTTATTCTCGATGCTTGTTAAGAGGAAAAAAAGCCTTTGGTGTTTCTGTTGTGAATGTGAAACATTATCTTCCAGCTGTACAGTGACACATTTTTTTAAGGAGAAAAGGACTCCTGATCCGTTTGCCAAAAGGGGGCTGGGGAGGTAGAAAATAATGCTATCGAGTGATTATTCTGGTGAGATGTGTTATTCGGTTTCTTCCTTCTTGATCATTTGGTGTTTAAGTAAAGTGAGGCACAGGCTTGATGGCCGAGTGGAGTGGGAAAAGCATTTTGATTTGCTGGCCTAATTAAAAAATGATAAAGGATTAAAGGTAAGCAATCTCTCTCTGTATGTATATATGTGTATATATGTGTATATTTATTTTTTTCTTGACAATCAACTGTTAAAAAGGGGCTGATCCCTTTAAAAACCGTTTTAACTGCTCTATGTCAAACACACACTCATTTGCGGTCATTGAGGCCACCTTGGCGCAGATCACTTAAAGTGTATGTCTTAATCACTTTTCCCCTACAGTCAGCACCATATTTAACAGTCTGAGCAGTTCTGTGACCTAGGGGTTTGGTAGAATTGTTTAGATGTTTGCTTTTTCCTCAAAAGATATTTAACCTTTTATATATAACACTGTCTTTTCATAGAGAGAAATGCTCTTAAAGACATGTGTGCATATTTCAAAAAATTGTGTAAGCTTTTGGGGGAAGAGAGAATAAGAGGGAGGTATGTATGTGTGTGTATGGGATTATTGTTTTTTCTTTTTATTTTTTTTTCCTGTTCCTTACTAGGAACAAAAACCAGATTGTCCAGACAATTTGTTAAAAGAAATGCTAAAATTAGAATTTAGTAACATCATTCTGAAAACTAGTCACAGAGAACTTCCAGGTTCTGGTCTTTTAAACTGCAGAGGACATGGTTAGAGATGTGTAATGCTGTTTTCCTCTTGTCTGAGTGTTCAGGCTGTATTCCTGGGGTTGAGCTAATCCATGTGCCAGATAAAAATCCTAAACTTAACAAAAAAAAGAAAACCACAAAAACCTTTCTGGACTTGAATCAGATCCTTAAAGATATTTAATGCTTTAAAAAAAGTGATTATCCTTGTGGTGTTGATAAAAAGGATTTTCTCTTTAGCCACTGTAAGATGCTTACTGTCATGGGTATTTTTTCAAGTTTGGTTATTTTCCTTTAAGCCTGATATTGGATTGTGGTTTCAATACATGAGCCACTTTACACTACCCTTCCCTGTACCCCTTATTGACTCCCCAGTGTAATCGTTTTTTATTCTGGTAACACCCAGACAAGAAATATTCGACTTTTCCCCCCTTCACAGGAAAAGGTGGACCTGGACTGAAGGGTGTAAAATCCCTGGACACATTCGTGGGGCAGGATAAAGAAGAGGAAGATTGGAAGATTTTTTTTTTTTTTCCCCTTAAGAGAAAGCCCAACGGAGTTAAACGAATGTCCCCTCATCTCCAAAGGAAAGTTCATCGGATTTTTATTCTAGAGAGCTCATCTTCAGGATGTCAGTGAACGTTTCTACTGCAGGAAAAGGTGTGGATCCAAATACAGTTGATACTTATGACAGTGGCGATGATTGGGAAATCGGGGTTGGAAATTTAATAATTGATTTGGACGCTGATTTGGAGAAAGACAGACAGAAATTTGAGATGAATAATTCCACCAGCACCACTAGCAGCAGCAACTCTAAGGACTGTGGAGGTCCAGCCTCCAGTGGGGCCAGTGCTACCGCAGCCTTAGCTGATGGCCTAAAATTTGCTTCTGTTCAGCCCTCTGCTCCCCAGGGGAATTCACACAAAGAGACCAGCAAATCAAAAGTGAAAAGGAGTAAAACTTCTAAGGATGCTAATAAGTCTCTGCCTTCTGCTGCCTTGTATGGGATTCCCGAGATCAGCAGCACTGGCAAGAGGCAGGAAGGGCGCCCTGGAGAGGCAACTGGCATGAATTCAGCGCTGGGTCAAAGTGTGAGTGGCGGTGGCGGCGGCAACGCGCACAGCAACGGTACCAGCACCAGCACCTCCGCTGCCACCGCGGGGCCGGGCTCCTGTGGGAAAAGCAAAGAGGAGAAGCCAGGTAAAAGCCAGAGCAGCCGAGGCACCAAGCGGGATAAGGATGCGGGGAAATCCAGGAAGGACAAGCACGACCTGCTGCAGGGCCACCAGAATGGCAGTGGCGCCCAGGCCCCTTCCGGGGGGCACCTCTATGGCTTTGGGCCAAGAGCAATGGAGGTGGCGCGAGCCCCTTCCACTGCGGGGGCACTGGGAGTGGCAGCGTCGCCGCTGCCGGGGATGTTAGCAAAAGTGCTCCGGATTCAGGGCTCATGGGAAACTGTGTGTTGGTAAAGAAGGAAGAGGAGGAGGAGGAGAGCCACAGGCGAATCAAGAAACTGAAAACTGAGAAGGTAGGACAAAGTCGCCTTCCTAGATGTCCCACTCTCCTGTGTGCATCTGTGTGGGTGTGTGTGGGTGTGCCTCTGTGTGCCTTCCCCTATGTGCTTTCTGGTTCTTTGTGAGGTTTCCGTGATATCCGTCCTGTCTGTTAAAATTGGATCTAGGGCTGCTTTCTTGGGTGCAGTGTTTGGCTCTTGCTTCTGCCGTTGCTGCTGCTACTGCTGCTGCTTGTGGTGCTAGTGTTTGGGTCCCCGAGTGAGAGGGTCTGAGAGTTCTAACTGCCTTTTACCCTACTGATGGACCCCTGGCCAGTCAGCAAGTTGTCGTATACTTTTAATAGAAAACCTGCTTATTCCCGCACTTGACTCTGGTCCTGGTTTCTCCCCTAAGGAGAACTGTCTTCTGTTTTAATTTACCCGGTTTTGTTACTGCTACTAAGGTGTCCTTAGATACGGAGTTCAGGTTCACTCTGGGGAAACTGTTGGAGGGGATTCTAATTTACAGTCCACCCTCAACTCATTTTTTGTGTTCTTACTGTCTCCAAAGTATTTCTCTCAAAGGATATCCCTCGGATGAGTTCCTGTAATTGGTCCTGAATTAAACTCCTGGCTTGGTGTGTTAGGTCATTGGTTTCATAACTGTGCAGGAAAACTGGGATGGTTTTGGTGCTGCTAGGACTCTACCTTGTTCCCTCACTCAGTTCTTAGCCAGAGATTTAAGGATGTTATGGCTTGGGTTTGGAACTTCTCTAGAGAGCCATTGGTAAGAATAAAATGGACCTGGTGGATGGGAAGGCACGGCCAAAGTCAAGGTGGGCAGTGAGAGTGAAGGGGAATCCTAGAATTGTGTGGTGCTCTTGAACAATAAGGATAGTTGATTTAGTCCATTGGGACTCTTTCTCCCATCTTCATCATTGTCTTAAAGCCTTGGACAACTGCCTCCAGTGTTGGGCTGCTTAGGACAGAGGCCTGTGTCTTGGTGGGCTGGGAAAGGATGACTTTGCATTGAGTAAGTCTGGGGACTAAAGGTGCTGTGTCCATAGGCTGGTTGGGAACGAGCTGGGGGTGTGAGTGATCTTTCTATAAGATTTATCTTTAGATTAATTCTACAAGTTGTGTCTTGCAGAAGCAAGATTTCTATCATGTGGTTTGTGGTATGGTTGTTTGAAAATATGCTTATTAAGTGATTTGAGTTTTGTTCTTTCTGACTTGGTCAGAACTGTAAGTGATGGTAATAAGTTTTTGGGTAATAACACCTGTGTGAAATTATTCAGTTCTCTATTTAAAACCTTTGCAACTTTGTGTTTAAGATTTAAATTGGGTATAGTAAGAAAGTTTTGATTTAGAAGTTGACAGAGGTATGTGAAGGAGTAAATAAAAATGCCAAACTTGCAAAACGCCTCTGAACACTTTTTAAATCCATACCGATTTAGTAGACAGCATTTTACATTGACGCATTTAAATGAACTTCCAAAAACAAATCCCAGGTTTTGGTTCTTAGACTAAATGTGTAGTTTCACACAATTTCTACTAAAAGGCATTTTGAAATCTTATTACTTAGTACAGTAGGGCATTTACTTTTGTTGCCAATAGTCTTCAAATTGCAGTTCTAATCTGCTTTAACTATCTAGATGAATTGCCCTAATCCAGTGCGCACAATGGCTGTGGTTAAGGAGTCAGAGCCATTTGGATTCACTGGCTGCGTGGAATGTGGGAGGTTCTGCCCTTTTGCATTCCCCTTCGCCTTTTAATCTTCCAGCCAAATGTTCACATTCAACAATTTTGTTTAGCTGGCAATCGGAACATTTCAGGCTCTCAAAGGCTGCTGTCATGGCAACTGAGATTAGAGTGTGGTGTCGGTTCTCCAGTGTTTGTGTTCTTTTCACTTTCCAGCCACAGAGGAAACTGGATGAAGACGGCGAAAATTAAATTATTCATGTACCGTGCTACTCATCCTCAGTGCCAGCAGGTCTAAATGTGATCATGTGAATTACATAAGTGAGCAGCAGACAAGCCCTGGTGGGGCTGGGGTGGAGGAGGGGAGAGACCACATGGCTTTTAGATTTACCCTGACCTTGTGTTGAGAGGAAAACTGCACTGCCAACCTTCGCCACTGGAGTTGGCACAGCGGTGCCCCTGGGATGGTTTCAAGGGGCTCAGACCCTACAGTGTTGACCATTTTTGTTGAGCTAAGGTGTTGGCTCAGGATCTCAAACAGTCTTTAAGCCTTTCCTCCCCACCCCCAATCCACCCTATTCCTGGAGGACTTAAAAGTGCTTTATCCTTGGCACACAGAGATGGCACTCCCTGGCATCCATGTCACCTAGGGAAGTAACTAATTCTTCCAACTAGTACTTGTGTCAAATTAGGCTTCAATTTAGAAAATGCTTGCTAATGAGATGAGGATACCTAGTTAGAGAGTAAAGATTCAGTAGGACAAGCTTCACCTGACCAAATGTTTCATATCTGAGACATCTTTGAGGAAGACTTTTCTTTTTTTGACATTTTGTGCAGTGTTTTAATTTCAGCCTTGCCTGATTATCTAGGTTTGTGAAGAGTAAATGCCTTAAGAGTAAAGATGATTAATTTTATGTAGTCAGATGTGTCTCATGAGGGGCCACATGCAAAACCCAAAGGGGTGTGTGTATATGTGTGTGCATTTTTTTCGCGTTCCAACCAGTTAATTTTCACAGCATGCTTAAATGTCTATTTTTGGTCTGTTTATTCTGTTTCTCCACTACACGGAGTCATGTAAAACATGATAAATTGGACCTTATGAAACCTAATTAAATCAATGAGTGTTCTCCTCCTTTATGTAGAAACCACAAGTAGGCTGTAAAAGTCGCCACTCCCTTAATACGTGAACAAAATCAAAACATGCTATAATTCTAAGATGTTTGAGCTATATTTCTATAGCCCATTTTGTGGTTAAGCCACTAGTGACATGTCTGAATAAGTAGGTTTGACGGGTTGGCTTTTGGTTGTTAAAACCTGCCTCTCCACCTTCCCCCTCCTTTCTTTTGAAGCCTAATAAATAGTCTTGTATGGAAGCTCCCTTCTTGTATTCTTTCTTGGCCACCTTACAGTTTAGACTTATCAGAGAAGGAGATATTCAGCTGAGTTAAACGAAGAGTTACATTGAGTTACATTGTGTATGGGTTTATTTGATCACTGGAAAATTTGAAAGTACATAGAAAAATTCTTCACAACAGCTGGAGGAGGAGGTCACATAATTGCATCCTAGAGTTCTTTTCAGGACATAGTCCTAGAAGAGGGTTATTTCTGTAATATCATAATTGTTCTCATTAAGATAGTCCTTGCCATCCTAAAAGTGTTGTCTATAAATGGGCCTGTCTATAAAGGATATCATCCTTTTTTTTTTTTTTTTTCCTCGTGTAGAAGCCTTTTTACACTTCACTAGGGAATTCTGGCACATTTTCTAAGTGAGCGTGAGCAGTTTAAGCACATACTTTGATTAATGAGTTTTGTGGGTGATATGCTTTTTTTCTTTTTGCAAATATAGTGTTCCTTATGAATTTTGCTTAGCGTGCAGTTTATCTACTGTGAAATAAAAGGGTAGGAAGGTCACTTGCTATAATTGAAGAACAAAGTCCATTGTTGTTAGACAGTGCACTGTTTTGAAAGCTACATGAGGGATTTAGCTGTTAGAAACATTGGGAACTAAGGGTGATTTCCGGCCATCATCGCTCCAGCTCCTCTCTCTTCAGGAGGCGTCCTCAGAGGGGCCAGGGCTTTTGGAGGTGGGAATGCAAAGAGGCTGTTCTTTCCCAAGGAAGGTTTCTGTGAGAACCGTTGTAGCATGGAGGGTTTGTGCCATCAGGCCCATCACTGGATTCTGAGTTTAGCATTTGAAATCTGTTAGGTTTGCTGGAGAGATTTAAAAATACGCACAAGTGCTCAACATTGAGCTAAAGAAGGTAATGTTTTGTAACTTTAATAACTTTGCAAGTAATCTGCGGAACAAAAAAGGAGGGGGGGAGGAACTGATTGTGTAAATGCCATAAGGTTAAGAATGCTCTTCAAGTGGAATTGCTCGGCTGCAAGATGGTTTTAATTAGAGTGTTATAAAGACTTATTTTTCCTAAGCAGCATTTTATAGTTAGTAAATGAAATGTATGCCGAAAGTGCAAAGCTGAAAATCTCCCTAACCACAGAGGTGTTTCAATAACCAGACTCAAACAACATGGAAAGTGGGGGAAAGGCTCCCCTGGGCTAACCTTGGTCATCATTCATCATTAATCTAATTGTGTGTGATAGTGCTGTGGACTGGTTCACTCTATAAACCATGCTCTGTTCAGAGCTGTAGTCTAGGGTTGTTGATCTTTTAAGATAACTTTTTGAGTCCTTGACTTTTTAGGCACTAAGATGTTTGGTTCTGGGTTTAGTAAGAGCCCTGGCTAAAACATTATCCGGTCTTTGTTTGAGGTCTTTTATTGAAGCTAATGACTGGGCTTGTGCCTCCCTGAGATAAATGACATTATCTCTGAGTGGGCTGACAGGAAACAGACATGTTAATGGTGAAGCTGCAGGGAGGATCTGCTCGGGTTCTGACTAAAGAGTGGAGAAGGGACCCCTGGTTGTGGTCATTAACACATAATGCATTCTTGCTCCTCCTAAGAGGCCCTTGAAAATTAGAAAGCTATTTTAGCCACAAGCACTTAAATCATAAATCTAATACTCCTAGTTCCTTTGCATTCCTAAAAGTAGTAATGAGTTTTTGTTAGCAAGTATGTGATGTGGGTTTTTAATGTGGTAGCTGTCCAAGGCTGCCTGGTAGTGACATTTGGGAGAGCTGCAGGTTGAACTGTTTTTTATCAGGTGAGCTTCCTCTTTGTCTTTCAGCATCGCTCACTCATCCTTCAGTTTTAATAAGTCGAGAAAGTAGTTCCAGAGCTTAAGATAAGTCATTTTTATACTTGAAGATGTCTCGTGGGAGGGGGATAAAAATCTCTTTTTTATAAGCTGGGAAAAAGATTTTGCTCAGTGATTTGAATGTGAGGAAACCTGCCTTTTGAAGTGTATGTATTTTTTTTTGAAGTCCTGGGTATAATTGAGTCTCAGTGCAGTTTAAACTCTGCTTCTTGAACGATGGTAATTGCCATGTTGCACACACTCTTGAGGTGTAAGAGAGGTAGAAAGGGTCATGCTTTTCTATTCTTTACTGTTAGGCACTGGAGTTTTTCATAGTAATTACCATAGTGCAGCACAGCTTTGGTTGCCAGCACTCTCAACTTGCCAGAGCTGAGCATCAAGGGTTTTGCTTGAATACTAAATAGTTTATTTCTAAGTTACCTGTATAGGGTTCTTGTGTGATTGTGGAAACCAGAGATAAGAAAATACTGGTCTCTCCTTTTAGCAGCATCGTAGTGGAAAAAGTCCCATTTCCCTTAGGATTGTTGTTAATAAATGGTAAAACCACCAAATCTCTATGTCATGTAATATTACAAGGAAACAGGGCAGGTGGAATCTTTGCTCAGTAATGACTTAGGTCATCAGTACAGGGTAATAAAACAGCATATTGATGCCCTTCAACTAGTATTTCATAGATGTATGCATATAAATGGTGAAATTGCATAGATAGATGTTGGATTGGGAGAATTGGGTCTTATGGCCTTTATAAAAAAAAAAAAATCACCTTGATTTTTTGTTCCACTCTGCTGCAGAGTAAATGGGCCCCTCCTTCTGTGTGCAGCTCTGTCCCCCAGCTGAAGTTCCTGTAGTGACTACTTGGCTTTCTGTTGCAAGTCCTTTGTAATTTAAGCTAAAGGTTTTGGCAACTGGAACAGAGCCTTTGCCACTGAATGAAAGGTTGTTAAACTACTCATAGTTGGCTGTTTGTAATGTTATTTTGAGAGCACAGGATATTTGAGATGGTGACACTCGCACTCTGTTCCTAAAGCTGATGTTTGCTAAATTTTGCTTAGAAACA